GCAAATGCCTCACAGCCAATATCCAATTCCCTAGTGTTTTGCCTGCCCTGTGGCAGAGTTGTTAAAGACCGAATTGTTCTAAATAATTGGTCTGGGCAAGAGCTTGCAGATGCAATCCTAATCACATAGAAACCTCTCTTTGTGGCCTTGACTGCCATCTCATAGGATCTCATAAACGTCCTAAAAGATGCTCTTGATGCCTCGTCATGAGCATGACGCCACCGTCTTGCTAGCCATCTCAGTTCTCGCTTCATCCGCCACAGCTCCTGGATACACCAGGGCGCCCGCCTAGAGCGAGTGCGGAAAGGGCGTTTGGGAGTGATCTCGTCAATGGCTGCGTAGAGTCGGTAATAGTTTTCCACCAGCTCATCCAACAAGCCTTCAGGGGGCCTCGGATCTCATAGAGCTATCTGAAGCCGTACTGGGTCCATTTGGCTCCTCGGGCGAGCTAAAATCTGCTCACCGCCTAAACAGGGTTGGGCTGGAACATCCAGATGGGCCTTCAGGGCATAGTGGTCTGAACATGGTACTGCTTCTGCAATAATCCGATCCACTGTCAACCCAGCCGCAAAGATCAGATCGAGTGTGTGACCGGCCTGATGCATGGGGGCCGATATGAATTGAGAGAGTCCCAGTGCCACCATGGACGATACTAGGTCCGTAGCCCAGCTGGAAGCCGCGTCCTCGGCATGGATGTTGAAATCACCCATGACTACCAGTCTACGGTGCTCCAATGCCCAGCCTGATATGGTTTCCAGCAGGGATGGCAGGCTACTGGCCAGTGCGTTAGGTGATCGGTACACCAGCCAGATTGCCAAACTGTCCTCAGCCTCCAGCATCAGGCCGACACACTCCAAGCCCGTGTTCTCCACCAGTGGGAGCGCCTTGAAGGAGTAAGCCTCCCGAATGAAGATAGCCACTTCAAAGTTGTGGACAACTTTGGAATTCTATGAGGGGTTGGTGAGCACCATCTCAAAATGGCAGCCACAGGACATGGTCAAACTCAAAATGGCTCCTGCAGGAAGTGGAAACAAAAACAATACTTCCCTTCTCCGTTTGCGACAGAATTGCACAACAACCACGCTAATCACATAAAGCTGCCTTATTCAGAGCCTGGCCATTGGTCTCTCAAGGTTAATATTATCTGTACTTGAGTTGGAAGCATAATCCAGCCACTGGGAAGACAGCAAGGCATCCTGATCCTCCAGTGGCTGTGCCTCTATTGCAGCCATGGAAAACCCTTTCATTTGAATGAGAGCAGCCAATAACAAGATCTGCCCTACAATGGCCCCAACCACTTTCTGAAAAGCTTGGTAGGCATGAGGGGAAATACTGGCAGGCACCACATTTAGTCATTGTGCTTTATAGACAATATTTGTAAGAACTGGCACCTCCACCTGCAACATAGCATTTGTCAGAGTACCTTACTATTGCATTTTAAAAGCCAATGTCATGATCCTTTTATAGCATAATGTCTTCTGGCACTGTAAAGATTAAATGTATTTCAGCATTTTGTATACTAGATCTTCATATAGTTGCAAGTACACACTCATGGGCTGAAAGCTTACGCCACACATACTTTACTAGCTTTTACTCTTCTGGAATAGAGTGGCCAGCTTCTTCCTTCAATGTTCATATCCCACTACTATTTGATGGGGAGGAAGGAGAAAAATCAGGGAGAACTATTACACTCTGGGTGGAATGGGGGGCAAAATCTGTTACACTCACAGAAGTGGATAACAGTAAGACTTGAGTTTCATAATTAAAAATATAGGCATTAAATGTAAAAGTGCATTAATAATAAATAATAAGGTGCTGTCAAGATGGAACCAACTTATGACAGCCCCTCACTGGGTTTTCCAAGCAAAAGATGAGCAGAGGTGGTTTGCCGTTGTGTTTCTTTGGACCCCCATCTTCCTTGGTAGTCTCTCATCCAAGTATTAATCATAGCCCACTCTGTAGCTTCTGAGCTCCAACAAGCTCGCTGCTGCACAGATATGAATGAAACTAGACAAGCATAGGTATGGTATGAAAACATTTTTTGGAAATGTTTTTTATGGATCCTTTTCTTGTGTAAATTGAATGTGTTGATATATCTATTGCTGTATATATGTGTAGGAATTTTTCTGATGAAGAGGTGAAACGAAGAGTCATTCCAGAGGTTTTCGTCAGATTCACTTGCAATTTGATAGAAGTTCACGTTCACCTGAAACTTACTATTCTTTGTGTATTCGTATCTGCTTTAATATTGTTGTATGTTTTAATTTAATTTTAATTAATTTTATTTATACCCCGCCCTCCCCGCACTTTGATACGCTCAAGCACTTTGTTCTATCAGTCTGTGCTTCGTTTGTTTGAGCACAGATAACAGCGGCATTTTTAAAAACTTTTTTCAAATGCTAATAAACGTCAATAAGTAGAATCTTAGAGAAAAGAAATGGATACAAAGAATTTGTTTAAATCTTCTGCTTTATCCCTTGAATTATTTTAAATATTTTTCCCTTCATTGTTTGTAAATCAGTCTAGTCTCAGTTGCTACACAGCTAGCTCCTGGTAACTGGAAAATACTATTTTAGATCTAAAATATGTCATGCAAGTTGAGATGGGCCCATGCTGCCTGCCAGGCTCCTAATGCGATGTTAAAACTCGGTAGCTTTTTCCTGCTGCCTTCGGCCTGAACTGCTTTTCATTTTGCATTCACTGCTTTCAACAGGCCATAACAAGTAAAACTCTCCCATTTCAAAGGCTAAAATAAGGGAATAAAAGGCATATTTGCCAAATAAAATGAATGCCCATAAAGGTGTTTCTTCTCCAACAGTTGCTCCATTCAGAAAGGGGTGGAATCTTTTTGCAGGACTGAACTGTGATTCGTTGACTTCACCAAACTTTTCCTCTTACAGTCCCAACCCCCCCTCTTTTTTTTTTTGAGAAGTCGAGTAGCTGCTTCTCAGACAGACGTGCACTTCAGCTGTAATCTCCAGAGATTTAGCCTGATACCATGAGCTCCGAAGCAGAGGAATCTAAAGAAGGTATGACTTGAGACATTTTTAAAGACCTTTGCTGAAAAGTTAGCACTGCTTTCAAAGCAAGCTTCTGCAGCAACGTGAGCTGATGAAGAGAAATTTGTGTTCACTTTTGATTCTGAACTGTTCAGATGGGAGAGGAGAAAACAGACACATCCAAAACTGCTTTTCAGATCTTACTGAAAATTCTGCAGCTAAAGCCTTGATATTAAGGATTTCTTGGTTGCTTTGTGCTGTAACTGAATATTTTACAAAGCGTTAGTAATGTGGAAGGCTTTCTTGTTCACAGGCAATAACGTCTTGAAAGGGGAAGGCATACATTAAAAAAAAATAGATGCTCTGTTCCTTTGTAAAAGGAAGTTGTGTAATACAGAGAACTGAAAGATCGTTATTTTAGGAAAGAGCTTTTCTGGTGTTAGCAACTTTTTCCCCCCAGGGTGCATTCATATTGCTTGATACAGCTTAAATGAGAATTGACAAAAGAGATGACTATTTAATCTCCTCTCCTCTTGTGAAGAACACGTAGAATCTAGAAATACTCCAAGAATATGCAATTATTTATTATTGTAAATTAAGGGAGGGGTATTGTCTGGTGGGTCTGAAGCTTTGAGACAAAAGGCTATTTGAATCAACGGTATGGGGAAAGGGATGGGGAAAAGTATAGCATATGCTGGAATTTCCTGATTTTAAGAAGCCAGGTAAATAGAAATTTAAAAGAGATAATAATGTAAACTAGACTAGCCATATTAGCAGGTTGGTGGAAAACCGCACAATGTTTTAAAACACTGCTGAAAGTGCCTCCATTGTCCCACTGATTGTCTCTGCATCCCTGCTTTTTGAATTTCTTACAGATCTAATCCAATTCTCCTTTTCTGAGTTGAGGGACCCTTCAAAATATGGTCTCACTAAATAAACCCCCCTAAAATCCATGCATGGGCATTGCTGTGACTGGAGTGATGCTGAGAACTTCCACATGCTCCCTTTTCCTCTTCAGACAGAGACAAACATGCTCCAAGTCCAACAAACAATTGCTAGTTACACTGAACCTTTCTCCTATGGCAACTCCTGAGTGCAGCATTCCTCTGGCAGCATGTACATTCCAACCTCCTTTGTATTGTAGATGAGTAAGCAGCATGCATGCCAAGACATGATGGCTTATGAGAAATGCTCTTTAAATGTGAACAATCTGATGCACCAAATCGGTTGTTTAAGTCAATATATTCCAGTTGTCTCCCCAATAGTAGTAGGTATCATTGACTTGACAAAAATCATCAGACTCTTCTAAAGTGCTCGGGATGCACATGCATGCTTCTTGTGGCAGAATGGCCCTGCTCTGGCCTGCAGGCCCTATTTTGCCCTGCCCTCCTAGGGGTTCCCAACTCTCTGGAGGGGCTTTTCTTCTATTCTTGGGTAGCTCACCACCACCACCCAATTGTTGCTGGGATTTCCCACTGGGAAGATCAGGAGTCCTGCTTCCCTTCCTAGTTCTGAGGCCTTTCCTCTGTGTCTCCTGCTGCCCAACTCCTGGCTATCATGGGGACAGTTCAGTGCCTTGTATGCCCCTAGAGGAGAAGCTTACTTCAGCTCTCCCAGGCGAGCACTTGGTCAGTAATGGCCACCTTCTCAGAGGAGAGGTCTCATCCCAAAGGGCGGGGGGAAACCAATTCCTCCTGCAAGAAGGTTTTATCATATCTGTTTCCTCTCCCAATTGACCCAGTCAGGCCAGGTCAAGGAAGCTCCTCCCAAAAATTCTATCCCAGGAGTGTTAAACATATGGTCCGTGGGCCAGAACTGGCCCATCGACAGCTCTTACCTAGCCCATGGGCAACTGGTGGTGTTCTCAGCCCATGAAGGAAAAAGGGTTTCAGGAGGACAAAAAGCAGCCCTGGAAGTTTTGGAAACAGGCTTTCTGTCAAGCCTTCCCCTTAGCCCCGCCGCTCGTATGGGAAACACAGGAGGGATGAGAACTGGGGGTGGGGAGATCTGGGAGAGTCAGGTTTTTGTGGGTTCCCCAGTAAATCAGTTGCTTTCACTGCTAGGGATCAATTGCTTCCCTGTATCCTTTATAAAGTTTATATCCCCAGTACCTGACATTGCATTTTATGGCACACACTGACATTTATGTCAGATCCAGCCCTCATAACAAAATTAGTTTAACACTCCTGTTATAGACCTTCCTGGTATCCCTGCTAGGATTTGACACCTCCAAACCTCTGTTCCCGGCTTGGAGAAGAGGGAGAGAAGGGGGAAGCTTGGCTATCCCATTGTCTAGCCCTATTTACATTTGTTTGAAGGTGGACTGAGGTAAGCCTGTTCTCTGCCCAGGAAAAAAACCCTGTTAAAATGCAAAGTGGAGGATTTGCCCCTTGCCAGCCTCCCAGGAGAATATGCATTTCGTCACACATGTAAAGCTAGTTTGGTGTAGTGGTTAAGTGCGCGGACTCTAATCTGGGATAACCGGGTTTGATTCCCCACTCCTCCACTTGCAGCTGCTGGATGACCTTGGGCAAGCCATAGTTCCAGGGAACAGTCAGGGTTGATTTCTTTTAGGATTGACTGATTTGTTCTTCTTGCAGTCCAAGGGACTCTCAAGAGTCTCCTCCAGCACCATAGTTCAAAAGAATCTATTCTTCCGCGCTCGGCCTTCCTTATAATCCAACTCTCGCAGTCGTACATGACTACTGGGAATACCATTGCTTTGACCATGCGGACTTCTGTTGGCAGGGTGATGTCTCTACTTTTTATCATGCTGTTGAGGTTCGCCATCGCTTTCCTCCCAAGGAGCAGGCATCTTTTAATTTCAT